GTTCCGAGGATACTAGCATGCATTCCCTAAATTCTTTTTTTTTTCTTTAAGTAATTGCCAGAGGGTACATGCTCTCACCAGAGAGCGAGACAGAGGAGAGGGAGAAAGAGAGAAAGAGAAAGAATCCCCCATGATGATTGGTCATGCTACAATCCCTTCTTCATTTTTTGCTCCTGTTGGGATTTAGAGCATGTACACGCATGTGCCCAGAGTGTTTTTCAAGCCACAGGGGCTGGGATTCTAAACACAGGGTTAGCCATGTACAATCTGTCTCTTTTAACCACCAGGTTACAGAGCTAGCTTACCCTAAATTTTTGTACTCCAGAATGAGAGCTGGCTCATACTCCCATATAGGATTAGGTTAAAAAAAGTCACTAAGGGGAGGGAGACAAACAGACACTGGAGGTTGGCTCTGTTTGACCCTAGTCTCAGCAGCCTGTGAACAAGGTTTTTACACATGGGACCTTGTAAGCTTATAAAAGAAGGCTGTGTGGGAGGTGAGAGTAAGATAATGCCAATGACTGTCCACTAATGAGGAGGAGAAAGAGAAGTGATATTTTAGAGCTTTCCACTAATATTCTGGGAAAAGATTGTGGTAAATTGTTTAATGCACTAATTCCTCCCATTCCGTTATCTCTCTCTCATTACAACCTGACTTAGCTGTATGTCTCATCTATAACAAGAGTCATTTCAATGGCTCCAACACTCGGGGCTAGATTTGTGATTTGGGTGAACAGATAAATACAGATAGTGATGTTAGGCAAGCTTAGGAGCCTAGGCTTCAGCACACCTTACAGCTTAGCCCATCATTCTCTTGAGACCTACTGAGAATGAGAGAGACCTAGTGACTGATCTGTCCCAGATGAACCCAGACCCCAAGGGAAAAGTCAGGTGAATGTGACCCATGAGCTAAGCAAGGACTGGCTAGTAGAAAAACTGCAAGTCAACTCGTGGAATCCCGAGGCTAATAGCTGCTGTTTCGAGGTTCGGGATGGTTTGTTTTGTGATCACAAATAACAGGAACAGAGTCCAACAAATGCAGCTGACCATTTTTCTTTTCTTTTTTAAAAATTTTCAAAAAAATCTAAATTGAGAGTTGGAAGTAACCCAGAGAGATCATTTTATATCTTCTTCAATGGCTCCTACCTTTAACTGGAAAGTTCCCAAACTTGATTTTGTATTCTCAACTTTGAAGTTCATTTGCCTTTACTTTGGGGAAGAAAAATAAAACCCAGTTTATGGTGGCGAAAAAACCCCCACAAAGTTAAATTTAAATATTCTATTGTAGCTTAACACTGAATTATAAATTTGATAGTTAAGGGTCAAATACTCTTCAGAATTTTTTCTTGGGAAGCCAACAACATTTGTAAAAACAGGAACAGGGGAAGTTCTTAGTAAAGCAAAAGAAAGCAGCTTTGATACCAAATTATCCCCAAAGCCAGGCTAACTGATGGCATGGTGGTTAAGGTGCCTGGATCCCACAAGGGAAGAAAATGGTTCAAGACCCGGACCTGGCAGAATAAGAACTGTGCTGGTATGCTATGCATGAGTGCCCAAATTCTGAAATGAGGTCGAAAGGAGGAGGGATTTTGACATGATCATCTCCAATGGGGAGGCTTCCTTACTTTCTGTATCTCTCTGTTAAATACACCACCCTCTGGCAAATTAAAAAAAGAAAATAAAAAGTTAAAAATAATTATCCCCAAAGCCTTAATTAAAGTCAATGCTAAGGCAGAGAGAGTTCAAATTCCTTTATTTTATTTGGTACTCTCCACACAGAGAAGCATCAGAAAAACATACCTCAGTTCTCATTCACACCTCAGACTAGGGATTGTTTATTCTTATTTATAAATTTATATGTTTATAGCACCAACACCAAGTTAAACAAATATGTCTCTTACTAAATATAGCCATAGGACTATCTTCACAGAGAATAGTGAATCTATGACTGTTTTATTTACCTGCCTATCAAAATCCTGGCAAACATTTCATGAGACTGCATTAATTTGAAACATCTCAACATTTCTATTATAAAGTTTTCTCAAGGTGTCTTTGGTAAAGCTGGGAAGAAATATATTTGTATATGGGTTCAAATATAACAGCAAAATCTGACTGTAAAGCCTACATTTGCAGCAGCAGTTATATTCAGAGTTACCATAGCAGCCACCCACGCATGCACACATGGGGAGACATACACACACACACACACACACACACACACACACACACAGATGATGGGAAAGAGAGAAATGCAGTTAGTAGAGAACAGAATTTATTGTTACAAGACAGAGGTACCCATTAATGTAATCACAAGCAGGAGTCCTACCTTTTGTTTGAATCACTGTTCAAAAATAGAAGATTTCCAAGTGTTGGAGTGTTTATTAGACGACTGTTATCTGAACACATCTACCACCTGAACCCTTGGGCTTTAAACTTTACCAGCCACTGGATTTTGAAGGGGAAGGAGGAGAAAATTCAGCTGACCAAGTACACATTGGTGCTACCATGATTTAATGTTTGCCGCTCTGAAACATTCAGAATCATTGTTGTCAGGAAAATTTGTGGTTCTACGGATCTGAGCAAGTTACTTCATTTCTGCATGTGCTTATCTATTAAGTGGGTGTAATAATATACACTTTAAGGAAATGTCATGAGGATACAATAAATTAGTACAAATAATCAATGAGTAAATAAACAGTAATAATGAAAAATAATAAACTTTCAGCATTTAGTAAAGTATTAAATAAGTTAGTAGAAGTGAAGAAATTAGTGTCTGACACATAATGCTCAATTAATGTTTGCTATAATAATTTTCATCATTAATATCTCTAATATTTATTACAGACCAGAAGAGTGGGGTTATTCTGAAGCTGCTAAAACAAATACATGTAGGTGACCAGCAGACTAGGGGCAAGACAGGATATTAAGATCCTTCTGGTACATCAAAAGATAATGCCTTCTCTCAGAGCAACTACCTTGATGCACTATTTGGTAAAATAAAAAGGTCAAATGATAGCAAATTTACCACCATTGGTAAACAGTGACTACACAGCACAATCTAACATTTATTAGTATTAGTGCTAAAATACTCATGTAACAGTTTTTGGGGTCAGAGAGCGTTCTGGACTTGGTCTACCATCATTGGCTTGATCACATTTGCATTCAGATAGATCTGCAATTCATAATGAGACAAACATAAACATCAGATTGAGACGTGATAGCAAGGGAGGAAAAACACCTGATTCACTCAAGTTTTAAATTTTCATTTTAAGGTTGTGTGCTTCATATTCTAACAGAGGTGGACCATGTTTGTAGTCAAGCAAGTTAGGAAATACGCTAGCCGGCCATATTCTTCCCTATCAGGCTCAGAGTAAGCAAAGAACGTGAAGGAGAAAGCCAAGCTGAGGGGCTGAAAAAATCCAGGGCAGATTAGAGAGAGTGGCAGAGCATACAGAAAGAGCAGGGAGAGAGTGATAATAAATTTCCCAAGGTCAGAGACAGTGGAAGAGAAAATAGATAGGAAAAGACTAGATCCTAACCTCTATAAAAATGTTCTTGATGGGATTTTTTTAAGTCCAGGCAGTGAGAAATAGAATTAACTTCACTTAAAAACTTAAAATGCAAGCTCACAGGCCTCCAAAACTGCCCTGCCATTGTGAATATTGTGTACAATGGTATATTTTCCCTTCCTAAATTGTCCTTCTACTTAGTCATCTTTATTTTCAATCTCAAGTCGAGATGCCACAGGGCATTTCTATAGATTTTTCTCTGCTTTTAGAGATAGCATGACATAAGTACATTAGAAACATTTCCATGATCAAATAGCCCTTTGATGGTAAAAATAATGCTGAGTTTTTCCAAGTCATTAGAAATAATCTGATTTCAAAATGGTCCTGAGCCTTACAAAGCTTTGGTCAGTGAACTGAAATGTGAAGGAAGTAGATGTTGGCACCCTAGGGAAGGAGTACACCCAAAGACATTAGCATTCTCTGAACTTCTTAGTAGAGTTTTTGGAAAAGTCTATGGAGAACACTTTTGGAGTCCAATTCCAGGGTTGCAAGGCACATCTTTTTCAGGGAGGGAAAGGCTGATGGCATGAATGCAGGGCCAAGAGCTGACTGCCAAGGCTGCCTTTCTCTGTGGAGGGTGTGATGTTTTGTTTTGTTTTGTTGTGTCTTGTTTTTTTTTCCCAGACAGAATCTTGCTATGTCATGATCCTCCCATCTTAGCCTTCAGAGCAACTGGGACTACAGGTATGTGCCACTGCACCCAGCTCTTTAAGTTGAGCTGAGAATTGAGCCTAGGTCTCTCATGAGGCCTCTGACAAACAACAGTATCCAGCAAGCACTGGCCAGTCTGAATACTGCCCTTCTCTCTACTTCTGCAGATCAGTAATGCACTTAGCTGCAACCACCTACTACCCTCTAAAGGACGTAAGATAGCTATAGCAGGGGACCAGCTCTTGTTAAAATGATGGCAAATATTCAAGAATAAAGGAAAAAGCATGATTTCTAAGGGTATTTTGGATGGCTATATGAGAAAATATTAAAACACTGGTTGCTATATTGTGATAGTTACCAATAACGAAAGATCTTTCTAGAAAGCACCCTCCTCCCCTTTCACTCCAGAATTTGAGAGCTTGAGGAGGCACCTGAGAGGCGGGGTAGTTCTCTTAATTGCACTGCTAGAAGCTTATAGGGAATGCTACAAAACAAATGTGTTTCCATTAAGTCCTATTTAATATAAAAGACAAATTCTCAAATAGAAATGCTAATGGCTGTATTTTTTAATACAACCAACTACCCACACATACTCTCAGGAGAGTCAACTGATTTAATTTTATTCACAGTACAAACAGCTATTATTAAAAATAAATTAAATGGCCTACAGAAAGCTGTTAATGTGCTATAAGTGACTTTCATGATGCAAAGAAAAAGGATCTCTGCGTTTGAAGAATGAAAAGAAATGCAGACTGAAACGTGTTTGTAATCCTTACTTACTGTCAGATACATAGCTGCATAGACACTGAGGGCTGCTTCTTTGGAGGGGAATGTTTTCCTTGCTCTCATGATGAGATCCGGGTTGCCTGTGCAGGCCTCTTCCCCGCTGATAAACTGTGTGTACTGCTGACACCCAAGAGCTGTGTAGTTGGGTTTACACAGGGCAAGAAAGTGTGGAGCCAGGTTTCCTGTAACCACTTGTCCAGCATTTACAAAGATATCTGTAGCAAATAATCCAAATGTATAAATTCCTGTGGAAAGAAATGAAACCATTTTAACTCTTTGCTTTCTACATTTCAGTTTACAATAAACCAAAATGGGAATATTTTTAGAAACTATAAGATCTTTCACACATACATATGGTTCCTTTCACTTCACTCTTCCCCGGTTCTTCCATTGGCTTTCTGGCGTGGTGGGAGTGTTAAATTACTTAACATATTGAGCTGTCTGCCACTGGCTACATTTTTATGCATGTCAGGTTTATAAAACATAAAGGCAGAAAATAATATTCCAAGATTGCGTTCCTTGGGTAATGTGATTTTTAAAATAGAGACACATATCCTTTAAGAGAGTGTAGTCTGTCATGCTCTTCTAATGTCAGCAATCTTTGTTTTTTTTTCCTACTTTTGAAAATATCTTATCTCACCAACATAAAGCAAAGCAGTCTTCTCTCTTTGATTTTGCCTCTCAAACCCATTTGGGTGGATAGTGACTCTACTGGAGGTGCCAGTTAGCAATAAAATCCAATACTGTCAGTTTTCATTTGAATATCATGGAAAATAGGTAAAGCAGAATGCTTTCAGATTATTCTCTGTGCTCTTTAGAAACAAAATTTTAAGTCACAGAACCATTGGTAATGTTGCCCCACCTTATCTTTTATGAATTGAATTGAATTGATCAAATTTGGGGCATTTTAGTGTAAAGTCAGGAATTAGAAATTAGAATTTTTCATTATCTTTATAGTAATAAAATTTATTGCTTTGCTTACCTGAAGGTATAAAATTAAGTAAATAGATTTTCCCCACCTTTGGTAAGCAACTTTCTAATTTATGTAAATAACAAAAACATTTTCTAAATTCAGTGTCATTGATTATTAAAACTTTTTCTACTTTGGTAGTAAAATAAATTCTTTGGCATTATTTTTTTATTAAATTCACAGTTATAATCTTCAGCAATGTGGTACCGTGTGGAAACCCATTATTATATAATTTTGGGAAATAAACTTTCCATCAGGACCTTCTAAAACTATACTAAAATGATATCTCCCAAAAATGGTTCATTGAAAAGTCATTTTATAATCCTTAGGTACTTTTATTCTTAGCCATATATATATGGATTGGTTGTTGTATTAGAAATCACCAAAAAAAAGTGTATCTATCTTTTTAATGTTCAAAACATTACCAAAAGTCCAGGGGCCAGCAGGTGGCATGATGGTTAAAGTGCTGGAATCCCACATGGCCAATTGCAGTTCGAGTCCCAGATCTGATGGCCTGAAAATCATACCATGTGTGCATGCCCAGGATTCCAGGAAAAGAATGGAGCAGAAGGATTGCTGGGTGGTCATCCCCATTAGGGCGACTTCTCACTTTCCCTCTCACTCTTTCTCTCTAACCAGTCCACGTGTCTGATGGCAAAAACAAACAAAAAAGTCTATGTGTATTCAAATAACATCAAAACGAAGACACTAGTTCTCTCTTATCTAAAATTTTAAAAGAAAGCAAAGAAGTGCTTTCTTTACATCTCCCTAGACTGTCCTGAGTCATACAAAGTAAATGTTATCAAAAGCAGAGATATGAGAGAAGCAGAGAAAGGAAAGAAAACTGAACTCAATACGTTAATGTGCATAACCTCTTCTTCCAAAATCTCATAGTCAAATATGAGAGCTGACATTTCAGGTCTTCATCTGCGTGCTCAGGAAATGTAGGCTAAGATGTACTCATTTTATTTAACTAAGCCATTCTTCTCTGTATAATACGTTTACCTGTTTAAAATAGAAGTATTTGATAAAAATATGGACATGTCTCTAGGCACTTGTGAAGTTCCCAAATGTGCCTTAGAATTAAAATGTCAGTGCCTTAGCCCCAAGGCCAATATAGTAGATGACTACAAAGACAATTATTAAAGTGAGATACCTGGAATGTAACTACTTTACTGACATCAAGAATAAAGTCAACACCAAGAGGAAAGCCCTACTATATAGTAATGTTCTACTTATAAGCTTCCATTTTATCATAACAAATTAGAAACATTCAAATCATGAGATGAAAAATAAATCAAGCTCTCCTCAATGTTTTATGAAATCCTAGAAGTAAGGAACATGCAGAAACTTAAAAGCAATCTGCTTTTGTGCCCCTTATTCTTCAGAAATAAGTGTGCAAATGCAGAAAAATATTTTCCTTAAAAAAGCACAATATAATTTACTTAATAGTAGTTAGGAAAGTGCCAGTTTCATCAAATACTCTTAGTTCTGAGTGTATTATTGCTTATTTTGTTATCAAATACCTCTCAGAGATATGAGTTAAGAACATCATATTCATGGCATGTGGAAAATACTGATTTAAAATTTCATATCAAAGTTAACCCCACAGCAGAAGAAATGAGGACTTCAGAGATTTTATAACTTGATGGCGAGAAAAAGAACAGGCTTAGATATGAAGACCTTTCATTTTCAGAGAGCTCTAAAGGCTGATGGCATTTGGTTAGTCTTTAACAGGTTTATACATGGATTAAGTCACCTATGCATATTATCTCCAAAGTGTTCATCTTGATCCCTTCAAAACAAGAAATATATTGAAGGGTTACTGTCTCCCTACTCTCTCTTAATATGGATCAGAATTCACTTTATGTGTTATTTATTACATAAAAGTATATTTTATCTGGTAAATCCTGAAAACAATCATTTATATTAAATTTTATTGTGTGAGTTTAAACAGTTGTATTGGCTAAGTTTCTTTTCTTTTTTTTTTTTGAGAGGATTTTGCTATAGGGTGTGCGTGGTCACCAGAAAAAGAGACAGAAAGTGAGAAATTACCCCACCCCACCCCCAGGGGGGATGACCACACCACAATTCCTTCACCTCCATTCTCCTCTCAGGATCTTGGGCACTCACGCACACACACCCTGCGTGAGTTTAAGGCACTAGGTCTGGGACTCGAACCATGTTTGACTACATGGGAGTCCAGCAACATAGCCATTATGCCAACTGCTGGTCCCTTGGCTAAGTTTCTATTGAATTGAAATGATTTTCAATAACTTGTCAGTGTTCATATTTGTTACTGATATCTGAGAGGGAAAGTTAAAGTATCAAGGCAGTTTGTCCCCTAATAACATCATCAGTATAACTTTTGTTTACATAAAAAGCCACTCAAACTTAGTGCATGAAGTGCTACATGTGGAACTTAACAAATACAACATTTCTTCTATTTGCCAACCTAGTTTTTTTGACCTTTATGATGTTTAGTAATCTACCTGGGCTATCTCTCTTTCACCAGCTATTATTTCTGAAATTTAATAAACACATCATTTATTTTCATTATATAATTTTTATTTTTTATTTACTTTTATTTTTTTTAGAGGGTTTTGCCATAGGGTTCATGCACTTGCTGGAGAGACAGAAAATGAGAAATCACCCCCCAGGGAAGATGGTCATGGCCCAATCCCTTCTCTTCCATCGTTTTCTCAGGATTTGGGGCATGCACACACATAACCCTGGCATGAGTTTCAAGCCACCAGGTTCGGGACTCAAACCGCAGTCAGCCATTTGGGAGTTCAGCAATGTAACCACTATACCATCTGCTGGTCCCTGGTTTATTAAAAAGTATTAAATATCCAAAAATGGTATTCTTTATTCCTGAAAATAATGTGGAAATGACATCCTGAAAGAGATCTTGCAATATTAGAGAGAAAATAGTTTGTAATGTTCATTTTTTGAAAAAGTTGAAACATCTCAAAGAAAAGATAACCTAATATTTGCATGTAGTTAAAATGCATGTCATTTTAAAGGTCAGCTTATACATAAACATTGTTTCTGCAACAATAAAAACAAAATGAATACATACCAAGAAATCGGACAGTTCGGCGCACCAGTGGGTTTATATAGCAACAGTCTCCAGTTAAAATGGTTTTCTCCTGGTTTTCAAAATCCCTTGTGGCGAGTTGTAGGCAAAACACAGCAGTTTCTCCAACTATTATCTTGCAAATAAACAGAAGATGAAAGAATATTAGAATTAGCCAGTATAAATATGAAATATTTTATTTTAAAAAATATATAAAAAGGAAAACCTCTAACAATCTAGATGTAAAAAAAGCCATATTTGCTTCACTAGACCCTCTTAGTATAATCTTGTCTCTAAGTATGAACCAGATTTCTCTCAATTAAGGGGAGTTTTACACATTGATAAATGGTGAATAAAAATATGCTATAACATTTTATTTTCTAAAAGGCTTCATTAAAAAATAAAATATATAAAAGATCTTCAAGAAAGTACTGTTATTTTAGTAATTGAATTTTATTTTCTCTTTGAAATGACTGTTTCTCATTAAATTCGACTCTGGCACAGAGTTCAGAACAGATCTTCTGTGCAAACATTTCTGAAAGGATATGGTAGGGACATATTAATTTAAAATCTTATCAATGCTTTTATAAGAATAAAAAGTGAATTTGCAATTTGCACACATTTGGTCTTAAGATTATCCTATTCTGGGACATTATTAAGAACTGTAATCATTACATATTCTTTATACTTTTAGTATGAATGTTATTTTTTTAATCACCAGAGGGTGCATGCACTCACCAGAGAGGAGGAGAGAAAACAATGGGCATGACCATACCACAATTCCTTTCTTCCATTCTCTCTCTACATGAGGATTTTGGGCACGTACACAGATGCCAGCATCTTTTATCAAACTGCTGGGATTGGGACTGGACCTGCAGTCAGCCATGCTGGATCTGGTTCCCCATGCACAGTGCTTAACCACTGTGCTGCAGGGCCAATCCTAAACATGTTATTTTAATATTAATAAAAGCCATATGAAACAGGAAATATTGGGTTATCAGAAAAGTCATGATGCATTTTTCCATAGGAAGACAGAAAAATACATCATGACTTTTCCAACAAACTAATATGTATTTTTAAAGTTTATTTCATCTATGAGAAAATAAGAGAGAGACAAAGTCATAGGCACCCTAACACACCACAATCCACCTCCCCATCTCAGCCAGCACAGATAATGGGCACATGGGTTTCAGTTAGCTCAGGGAGGTCCCAGGACCCGAACAAAGAATCTTGCTCATGTGGGTCCAGTTGTGTTACCTGGCCTGAAATGGGAAATATTATACCCCTTCTACAAGTGAAGAAGCCAATAATTATTTCTCAAATGAACTGCCCAAGAGCTGGTAAGGAGAGCTAGGTTCTGGCATAGGTTTCACCATGTTGACTTATTAAAGGACTTGGCTGTCTTCTGTACTACTTGCAGTGATTTTCATACAGGGCCCTCAAAATCACCCAGCAAGGGATTACAGCAAGTACCACTATGCCACTTTAAGAATGAAGGAAATGGAGACTCGGGAAGGTTAGATAATTTTCTCCCCATGAGGTTAGTCAGAAGCCAAGCAGAAATTTCTGAGTCAGCCTCAGATCTTATGGCAATGAATACCATGAACAACAGCATACAAAAAAAGATTAAGAGAGAAAGAAACTCGAGCCAATAGTATACCTACTAATTTGTCATTGCTGGGCTTGTTTTTGGTATGTCTTGTAAAAGTTAATTGATATGCTATACAGGGAATCCCTGACATTTCCCAGGGATATGTTGGATGCCCATGAAAAGTAATTCCATGATTACAAGGTATGCAAAATAGTAAATGGCAGGTAGAAAAAGGAGCCACAGGAGTGGGTGTCTGACCTATCTCGACACCAGAATGAATGACAGATTGAGACATCTTTTAATTTTCATCTTTCTATCTCCTTTTCTCTCCTTTTTTTTTAACCATACTTTCTTTTTCAGTAGGCAAGAGTTCAAGGTTAAACCAGAACTATATTAAGAATCTAGTCTTGGTGCTGCAGGTGGCATGGTGGTTGGGGGTGCATGGTTCAAGTCCTGAACCTGGCAGCTTGCTTTCTCACTTTCCTTCTTTCTCTCTCTCACTCTGTCCCTCCTTAGTCAAAATAAGTGAATAAATAAAGTTAACTAATTTTTAAGAAAAAGAATTATTAAAAAATGGTCTAGTCTTGTTTCAGCCAAATTGTAGTCAGTAGTGCACTCAGCTGCAGTGCTCGAAGCTACATGACAACCACAGTTCAAATCCTCATCCCAGTTTGCCTGAAATATGTTGGGCGTGTGCAAGAGCCCAGAAAATTCATTGAACAGGAAGACTGGAGGGGACAGTGGTATGACCAGACTCTGTTGGAGGGTTCTCTTATCTCTGTCTCTCTATCATGCATACTCAACATGCTCTACCACAAATAAAAGTAATTCCATGATTACAAGGTATGCAAAATAGTAAATGGCAGGTAGAAAAAGGAGCCACAGGAGTGGGTGTCTGACCTATCTCGACACCAGAATGAATGACAGATTGAGACATCTTTTAATTTTCATCTTTCTATCTCCTTTTCTCTCCTTTTTTTTTAACCATACTTTCTTTTTCAGTAGGCAAGAGTTCAAGGTTAAACCAGAACTATATTAAGAATCTAGTCTTGGTGCTGCAGGTGGCATGGTGGTTGGGGGTGCATGGTTCAAGTCCTGAACCTGGCAGCTTGCTTTCTCACTTTCCTTCTTTCTCTCTCTCACTCTGTCCCTCCTTAGTCAAAATAAGTGAATAAATAAAGTTAACTAATTTTTAAGAAAAAGAATTATTAAAAAATGGTCTAGTCTTGTTTCAGCCAAATTGTAGTCAGTAGTGCACTCAGCTGCAGTGCTCGAAGCTACATGACAACCACAGTTCAAATCCTCATCCCAGTTTGCCTGAAATATGTTGGGCGTGTGCAAGAGCCCAGAAAATTCATTGAACAGGAAGACTGGAGGGGACAGTGGTATGACCAGACTCTGTTGGAGGGTTCTCTTATCTCTGTCTCTCTATCATGCATACTCAACATGCTCTACCACAAATAAAGGAAAAAAGTCTAAAGGAGTCTAGTCTTGCCTATTCTGTAAGACTGTGTTGAATTAAGAAAGACTAGGACTTCCTAACTCCTTGAATTTTGACTTTAGCTCCGGTGAAGTAGAGCAGGCGTGTGAGTCAACACTTCATTCAACCAAAGGAGGCACCAGCCTCACTTTTTAAGTTATATTAGCCTTACCAGGACCTTAGGAGAAACTGACACATAGATCAGCAGCATGTTTGACACTTTCTCCCTTTCTGAATAACTCACATCCTATCCCCTTTATACTCTTGAAAAGAAGGCACCACCATGATGTTTTCTAAGCTTTTGTTTCAACTTTGTTCAGCTCTGTTTAGCCATACAATACCCTGAATTCTAACAATCTGTCTTTCACTTCACTTCAGGAACTGACTGGGTCCCCATATGACTGCTGCCCACTCAGGCTAGTCTTCTCCACACCAGGCACCACTGAGACTCCACCTTACCATACACTGAACTCCGGTTCAGGCTGGTGACACAGTAACCTCCTCAGAATGTAGTCGATACCAAATAATTCTTTTTGAAAGCATTTGTTAATCTCATCTTCAGAAGAACTCATCTTCCATAGTTCAGAATGTCCTAGCGCAGTGTCAGCACAGTGGCCCAGCCTCTGTGGTAGTCAGTAGCAATAGTGAACTATGAAGCTGGAAGCCACATGGGTTTAGATCCCTGACCTCATCAAGTTGAACCATGCTGGGCATGCATGTGCACAACCAAGAGCCTGGGGCTGGGGGTCCCCGTGTGACCAGACCCTGCTGAAGGCACTTCTTTGTCTCTCTCATGTGTGTATATGCATGCACATATCCTCTCTATCACAAATTAAAATAATCATAGTAATCGCAATAAAGAATGTCCTAGTCTGCTTCTCACTTTTGTCCTGACTTCTAACAACCAATTTCTGCCTTATTCCTGTGATGAACTTTGTACCTCACTGTCTTATTTCTCTAACCAGAAACTATGTAGTCCCTGACTTGATAACTCTTAGTTACCACACTAAGAACTGCTTTGGGCCACTGTTCTCTGAGATTTCTTTTTTAAAATGTTTTGGTTGTTGCTTATTCTTTTATTTATTTAATTAGAGTGAGAAAGGCACCCCCCAGTAGGGCCTCCCTGCCACCATCCACCTCTAGTCTCAGTTGGCATGCCCAGGGAGGTCCCAGGATGCAAACCTGGCACCTTTCCCATGTGAGTTGAGTTGTACTTCCATTGTACCACCACCTGGCCTCTGCTACCCTTTTTAAAGCTTATTTCTCCTGTGAGATAAAAAGAGAGAGAGGCACCTCTAAAATGTTCTTGACATCATGTTCCACCCCTAAACTCAGCCAGCCTAGATCATGGGCACTCTTATTTATTCATTATTTATTTTTATGTTCAATCACTGTGTATCATTACAGATACCAAATGAAATTCCCATCATGAATACACTGCACATTAGTCCAAAGACATTACTATATACATTATAATCAACAGATTTCTTTCCATTTTGAGTCTCTCAAATGGTTTACTTCATTCTTCTTCCCCTTAATTCTCTCCCTTCCACCCTCCCCCATTTCCCACCCTCCTCCTGTACTGTCTCCAGTATCACCATTGCTCTCTATGCTTTTATACTTTCCAGTCATTCAATTTCTGCCATGGAGTGCTGACATTTGGTATATCTTCAGTGGGGACATACAATGCCTCTCCTTCACAGTCTGGTTTGCTTTGCTTAGCAGTAAATCTTTCATATTTGTCCACTTTCTGTCGAATTCCAGGTTCTCATTGATTTTTATGGCTGAATAATATTCTGTAGTGTATATATTTCATACTTTTTTCAATTCGTTCATCTGTTTGTGGACACTTGGGTTGGTACTGTGTCTTAGCAATTGTGAATAATGCAACAATAAATATGGATGTGCAAGTGTTTTTCTGATCGAGCATTTTCCTATCCTTTGGGTAGATACCCAGGAGTGGAATTGCTGTATCATATGGTAGTTCTATCTGTAGCTCTTTAGAGAACCTTCATATTGTTATCCACAGTGGCTGTACTAATTTACATTCCCAGCATCAGTGTAG